AATAATAATAATTATTATATTATTAATATATTATTATTAATATTATTATTATTATTAATTATTATTATTATTAATATTATTATTATTATTATTATTATTATCTATTATATTATTATTATTATTATATTATTATTATTATTATTATTATTATTATTAAACCTTATTCATACAACACTTCCAAACTACATAAATATCATTCCAATCAACTGTTATCAATTTAACTTCGAAAATTAAAGTTATTTTGAAAAATAAAAAAAAAACGGAATCAGTTAATTCCCCTTTATTGAAGACTTTTAATAAATAATATTTTGAAAATTATATTTTTAATTTTTTTAATCTTTAACTATGTTATAATGTTGAATAATATATATTTATATTATGAACTTTCAAAATTAATCTTTTAAAAATAGTTTTAATATTTCAAAAACATTTATATAAAAATCAATTTTAAAAATATAATTAATTAATTAATTTTTAAAAGAAAAACAAACAATTCTAATTACTTAAAAAACGGTGCCGTATTAAACCTGAAGTGAAGGGTGTAGAAAAGAAGAACAAATCAGCCACACTTTACTTCTTCTTCTACTTTCGCAAACCCACACTCTCACCTCACCGCTCAACACAATCTGGTAATTAATTTCTCTCTTCCTTTCCCTTAATCATAACTTTCTTCTACATTTCAGATTAACAAAAAACGTTGCGATCCAATTTCAACTTTCCGATAATTTCACAATGCTTAACCTAGTTAGGTTTATCGATTAATCGAACCCCTTTATGAGATCTGCATTTCATTTTGTCTCTTTATTTCTTGTTGTTGCATAGTCTTTTTTTTGTGGAATGTTTGTTATTATTTGTATGTGTGTGAATTTCTGGTGCCTGGATTAAAGGGCATGAATTTTGGTACTTTTTTTTTTACCTTTCGTTGTTGTATTATTTGCAGAAGAGAAGAGAGTAAAGAAAGACGACGGCAATGGCGACACGGGTGGCTGCGAGATATGCGTCCAGAAGGCTATTTAGCAGTGGGACTGGGAAAGTTCTTGGTGAGGAGGAAAAAGCTGTAGAAAATGCTTACTTCAAGGTAGCCTTAATGATTTTTGTTTTCATGCTCTGTTAATTTATTGCTTCAATGTCTGCTTAGAAAATAGATTGCTGCTCAACAGCTGTTGGTAGCGTGCGTGTTGATGATGTGGTGTTTACTTGTTTTTTATATTGCAGAAAGCTGAGCAAGAGAAGTTGGAGAAACTTGCCCGCAAGGTATGTCCTAAAATTTCACCTTATTTTGTTAATATTATACAAATGTGCCACACCACTTTAACTTGAAAGTATTTAACCTTTAGGCCGTCATTCTTCAACATGTTATTCCACATCTAGTTTTCTGATTGAGTATTTTTATCAATTTTTATTGGTGGAAGGTGATCGATCGGAATCTTTATTGGTCTAATGTGTTCAAGTGATATAGAAATTTTCTCATTTACTCATTTATAATTCAGAAAATAATACTCAAGGCAGCCACTTTATGGCAAAGCTATTTATTATCCTTTGCGGAAATTTGTAATTTGGCCTATAACATTGTTTTAAAATATTCCACCATCCGTTTATTAGAAAATCCAAATTGTGCCTATAAGTATTCAGCATTAAACGTGACCTCTTAGTCTTAGAAATGAAGGGTGCACACAGTTAACGAATGCCCTCAGCTGCAGTTGGATGAAATAAAATGTAGATTTAGCATTAATCACATCTTTTTTTTTTTTTCCATGGAGGACCATTTCCCGAAAGATAAAGGGTGATAATATTATTATCAAGCACAAAAGAGTGATAACATGAATGTTGGTTGACTATGATACAACATGTATATTTGATGAAGATTTGAAATAACATAGAGTCATGGATATATTTACACGAATATAGAAAAAATTTGTGATATTTATATATTGACATTGATATTTTTTATTAAAATATACCTTGCCCATAAATGGTGATCCTAATTTACAAAAAAATGCATGTGATATGATGATCATAATGAAAAAACAAGTCTTGATTCTGCACAATTGTCTATTATTAACTATATCATTCTCAGTGTTGCCCATTCCTATAATCCAAGAATCTATGGCTTCTAAGTCTAGATCATAATAAGAGTTACTCTAAGTCTTGATCATAATAAGAGTTACTCTAAGTCTTGATCATAATAAGAGTTACTCTAAGTCTTGATAATAATAAGAATACTCGGCCTAATAGAAGTCTATTGTCATCTTCAAGTAGATCATATACATTTCCATGAACGACCTATAATCTCATATCTCCTTCATTATGTATGCCATTTATCTTTTCTGAACCAAAATCAAAGGTTAGTGTACTCAAAAACCAAATCGCCCACCTTTTCTGGGTCCTTTTTTTGTTTTTCAACAAGAATGAATAAATGATTTCCCTCTAATTCCTCTCACAATATAAGAACTAGGCTGTACAAGAAGCTTCAAGACAAGTTTTAGTGTTGTATTTTAACTCATTGAATCATATTCCTAACTATGGGTCAATAATTTTATAATTTTTTTTGAGGATACTCTTTAGATATTTATATTTAGGTGTATGATATGCATATCAAATCAGATACAAGTACAACACTAATACTATATCAATTGTAAAGTATCTTGACTTAATAGTTGGTTGACTATCTTGCAATATTTTGATTTTAGGTATTAATCTAATGTCTGTATAATATATTCAGAAGGACACGCATACTACAGTCTAACACATTCTGCTATGATTCCGAAACTTGATTCCATTCTGCCTGTGCCAAAGTATGCTTTTGTCATGTGTGGAGATTGCATAAATTCATGGATAATTTAGATTGTTGTACTTAATTAAATCTGTTGTTACATCTTATTGTAACTAGACGACGCTTGTTGATATTACATGATTAATGAATCAACGAAATGAGTTTTTAAGCGAGGTGACACAAGGAGAAATGACGGTTGTTTTTCAGCAATTGGTGATGGTAGAATGGAAACATGAAAAATTGGCAATTGACAAATGATTTTGTTGGCAGAAATTAGCACAAAAAAGTATGACAAAATTGAAGTTGTATTATTTCCCCCTAACCATGATTTGGAAATTGCAGTTTCACTTCCCTTTTCTTTTTCACCTTTGGATTATATACTTTTTAAGGTTAAAATGAAAGTCGTTTTATCATACTCTTAACTAAAGGACCAAATCAAACAATCTGCAATGTTATTTCTTTATATTCTGCCACTTCCAGTTCTTACTCTGAATGAAAGAATTCAAGGTTTTTGCTTTTGCTGAGTTACTTGTTTAAGACTCTGTTAAATTGACTTGGTTGCAATAAACTGTTTGAGTTTTAATTTATATTCTCACACTCTCTTGTCGTCATGTAACTTTTTCACATTATCTTTATTTTTATCTCTCTTTTTTCTATCACACCACCCATCACATTTCTTGCTTTCACTCACTCTCTATCTCATTTTTCTTCTCTTTCATTTTTCCTTAGTCTTCTCATTCGTCTGTATATTCTATGGATGTCATGATTTAAACTTACTGTTAAATATATTTATTTTCTAATATAGGGTCCTCAACCAGAAGCAAAGCCAGCCGCAGGCTCAAGTGGTACAGTAACCGATGCCAAACCAAGTAGCTCCGGACATGCCGAAACATCAAGTGCCAAAGTTTCAACTGACAAATACCGGAATTATGGTGTTGTAGCTGGCACTATAACAATTCTTGCAGCTGTAGGATGGTACCTTAAGGGCACTGCAAAGAAGCCAGAAGTGCAGGATTGAAGATTTCAGTTGTGGTGCTTGTTTTTTATTTCAATTTGGTTGCAACAGTTGCACAAAAATAAATAACTACACACCACTCTGCTTTTAGCATGGATTACTTCTTTTTGTTCACATTGTTTTACATGTGACCTATCACCTATATATCCCTAATGTCTCTTAGCATGATGAGCATCAACAGTGAAACTTTAACATGTGAAATGAGAAGAATATTTTGTAAGAAAAATCACATTTGGTGACATTTCAACCGAGCTGCTGCATCGATTGATGAAAAGGTTTATTTTCACAAGTGTTTTGTGCTAAGATTGATGAATTTCTTGACTTCTCTTTTATATATACATAGTGAGGAATTATAACAGCCTCTTTTATATATTCACTTTAAACCAAGTTCTAGATGAAAATAGCTATGAAACTAAACCCTATCTTGATATATCAGTAAATCAGTGATTTTTGTTAAAATACAAAGAGCCCATATTCAATAAAACGAAATAAAAAAGGAACTTGCACCAGCCGGGAATCGAACCCGGGTCTGTACCGTGGCAGGGTACTATTCTACCACTAGACCACTGGTGCTTCTTGGAGAAATAAATTTTTCTATATTTAATTATTACGTTTTACATGACCTTCACAATGTTGTTCTTCTTCATCTATATTACTTTCTACACCACTATCATAATCTTCTTCATCTCCTAAAAACTCTTGTTCCTCTCCATCATGTTGAACAAAATGCAAGGTGAGCCTTCCATCTTCTCGATGAGCATGAAGAAAATCTCGTGTTGGTATTTGAACTTGTTTAAGAACAAACCTTCCATTGTTCCTATAAGACACAAAACTAACACAAAGTTTTCCACTTCTTCCTATGCATGAAATTGGAGGAGGATACTCATTCACCTCTTTTGCATTACCACTCTCCCATAACCATTTTCCTTCTAAACCCTCATTCTTTTCGCCTTCTCCGTCTTCTTCTTTTTCTTCACAGTGGTCTTCTTTTTGTTTGTATTCTTCTACACTCTTTGTACAAATACTCAATTTCTTTAAACTCAAGGATAATTTCTTTTTGTCAGACAATGAGTTCTGTTTCTTTAAAGATAGAGGTTGTTTAATTTGAATGGGGTTTATATAGTTTACCAGCTCCGGGAATGATGATGAAGATGACAATGATGGTGATGGTAATGGTGATGTTTGCGGCGTAATAGACTCGCTACAAAGCTCTCCAAAAATTTCAGTGAAGGAAGATGAATGACGCATCGGCTTGATTTGGTTTTTCCATGAGGAGAGGGATTGATCAAGAAGTACTGTTGGACTTTCTGCAGGCAATGGAGGATTTTCAAATATTTGTTGAAGGCTGCATGACATGATGATGATGATGATGATTGATATTTCCTAGGTTTTTAAGGTTGATGTTTTTTTGTTTTGTATAAAAATGTTTTGTTTTTTATCAATAGAAAAACATAACATATATTAAGAGAGTATTAGACAAGATAAACAATAACAATTTTTTTGAGATTTTGTGGTTGGAATTATGGGAGAGAAAAAAGTGGGAAAGGGACATAAAAATAGCATGAGTTGAAGTAAAATCAGGAGGAATATGCCATTATTCTGTTATATATATTGGGTGGTTCTAACTTGAATCAATATATATTGAGGTGGAAGAGATATCTATATTAACAGCATTATGATTTATATCTTCATCTACTATATCTATTTATAGGTTCGAATTACGACAATGATTTTAAATTGCGCTTTGCATAAACTTTAAAATAATGCAAGTCATGCATACACGTCATATTTGAGTCATGTGCAATATCCTGTCTTGGACGTTCTCAGAGACGGTTCTAACCTTCAATACTATGCTAGTGTTGATCATAGTGCAATATCTTAAAATCAAACAAACTATGGAAACAATAAAACTGAACTGTTTCTTGATAGAATAGAAGAGTGGAGAAGAAAGAGAGAGAAGAGAGAAGAGAGAAGAGTAACTGAATCTGTTATATATTTTTTCACAGTTACAGCAAACCCTTATATAGAAGGGCCTAGGGATAGAAAGGGAATTAGACACATGAGTCTAATTCCTACTAACTATTACAATAATACCCTCCTATCTCTAATACTCCCCCTTCAAACTTAGGGTGGTTGATCAAGTTTAAACTTGTCAACAACACGTAGTTTGCTCTTGAGAAACTGAAATCTGGCTGTGGAGAGAGGTTTGGTGAGCACATCTGCCCATTGGCTTGCTGCAGGAATGTGAGTCACAACAAGGGCTTTGCTCAGCACTTTCTCCCTGACAAAAAAGATGTCTAATTCCATGTGTTTGGTCCTAGAATGCAGCACAGGATTGTGAGCCAAGGAAACTGCACTAAGATTATCACATAGCACCTTTGGAGTTTGGTACTGCACCTGTAACTCTTGTAAGAGAGACTGCAGCCATAAAATTTCTGCTGTGGCAAGAGCTAAGCTTCTATATTCTGCTTCAGCACTAGATCTTGCCACCAATGTTTGCTTCTTTGCCCACCAGGTCACCAAGTTAGGACCTAAGAATATGCAAGCACCAGAGGTGGACCTCCTGTCATCAACATCAGAGGCCCAGTCAGCATCACAAAATCCTGTAATAGTGAGAGGTGCAGACTGATTGGCAGGGGAAAGAAATAAGCCATGAGAGGCAGTCCCTTGAAGATATCTCAAGATCCTTTTAACAGCTTTCCAGTGGTCTTCTAAGGGATTAGACAGAAATTGGCACACTTTATTGACAGCAAAAGATATTTCTGGCCGAGTCACTGTAGCATACTGTAACGCGCCTACCACAGATCTGAAGTATGTGGGATCAGTCACCTGTGCAGAGCCAACTTTGGATAACTTGGTGCTAGAAGCCATAGGGGATGCTATGCCTTTTGCAGCAGCCATATTGGTTCTGTGCAGAAGGTCTCTTATATATTTTCCTTGAGAAAGAAGTAAAGAGCCATTAGAAAGGTGAGTAACTTCTATACCCAGAAAATAGTCCAGCTGCCCAAGATCTTTGAGAGAGAAAGCCATATTCAGTTTGTTAACAAGCTGCTTAATGAAAGCTGAAGATACGCCAGTGATAATTATATCATCTACATAGACAAGCACCAAAGTGTAGCAGGATGGTGTGAGAAGCATGAACAAAGAAGGGTCACACCTGCTGGCAGTGAAGCCTAACTGAAGGAGAGCGCCTTTGAGCTTATCAAACCAAGCACGAGGTGCTTGTTTAAGGCCATACAAGGCTTTATGGAGCTTGCATACAAGTCCAGATTCACCTTTTTCAAAGCCTGGTGGCTGCACCATATAGACTTCCTCATTTAGCACCCCATTAAGAAAGGCATTATTAACATCAATCTGTTGAATGGTCCATTTTCTGGAGATGGCCAGAGTTAGAACAGTTCTAACCGTAACAGGTTTGACTACAGGTGAGAAAGTCTCAGTGTAGTCAAACCCTTCAACTTGATGAAAGCCTTTTGCCACCAATCTGGCCTTGTACTTGTTAATAGTCCCATCAGGATTCTCCTTAACCCTGAAAGAATAGAAGAGTGGAGAAGAAAGAGAGAGAAGAGAGAAGAGAGAAGAGTAACTGAATCTGTTATATATTTTTTCACAGTTACAGCAAACCCTTATATAGAAGGGCCTAGGGATAGAAAGGGAATTAGACACATGAGTCTAATTCCTACTAACTATTACAATAATACCCTCCTATCTCTAATATTTCTAAATCTTATCCTTGCAAGATGCAACATAAGACAAATCAGACAAACATATAGTGTCATAAATGTCAGAAAAGAATCAATTTACATTCCAGCACAATGGTGCTTTTTTCACTCTGATCTTGAATCTATATCCAGCTCAAATTGCTTGATTAATCGGTACTTCATTTTTTGTTGAAAAATCAAAAAGGTTCTATATAAAATTCAGGTGATGATTCTACATCAGAATGCTTCCCTCCTTGCCTTTACTGTCCTTGATACAAGTGTCTTCAAGAAGTTCATCACTTGAACTGCATACATCAATGCACTCAAAGGATCTACCATCTGCAATCAGGTAGCATCCAAATTATTGTCAGTGTCTAATACGTATCGGCATATTTGATTACATTCATTTAGTTATACTTTCTCAAATTATTGTTAGTGTCAACATAGCCATATCAGTGTCGCGTCTGGTGACTGTGTGAGACTAACAATGCTTCATAATTAAAAACTGATTGAAACTAACTAACCTGAGTCATGTTTGGTGCAAAAACCATAGCAATGTTGCGCACGTTCATCTTATTAAGATGTTCCTCTTGAACAACATCAGCCATCAGATTGATAGTCCATTCCAAAAGCGAAGCTTCGGTCTGAGGTAGCTGACTCGTCAGTTCCACACAATCCTCTTCTGTTTGACATTGCATTACCTGCTCTGGAGATAAAGAATCCAGAATACCTCTTGGCAGCTCCCTAAACCATGCCTTCAAGAGGCGTGACAAAATCGATACACAGTTAACCACAATAGAAAGACAGAAAAACGCGCATAAAACAATAATGCTTCTTTTTCATTGTGATGATACCTTAATCAATCCTGCCAAACAATGCACATCAATGTCTTGAGGAACCACTCCCTTACTCAATTGTTCCCTAACATAATCCTCTCGATTATTATCCGCGTTAATTCTGAAAATTCCCTCTGCCTGCATAAGTTTAACCAAGAAAGAATTACATATAGAGTATGTCTTCGATGTGGCCACCAAAGCTCGAAACCCTGATCTACTGATAAACATTGTAGAGAATTGAAACCTGTAATCCTCCTTGAGCATACAAGTGTCTTTGCATTAGTAGTAGAATTGTTGGCACAATGTTCCCTCTTGTGTCATATGATAATTTCATAGATTCTGTTGAAACTCCAAAAACAGTTGCACTATGAAAAACCAAAAACAAAATATTCACCAAAACATGTAAAAGAAAAGAACACGATATAATATATGAAACACAGATACCAGATACACATATTTTTTCGGAGGTGTCGGTGTCACAGAGGATATAATACATTGATAACATGAATGTAGGAAAGAAAGAACCTACCTGGCACTAGGAGCTATAGTGGGGAGCTGAGGTTCAAACTCACGAGGCAAACCCAAGAAACCATTGAACCTATCAAAAGTAACATGCGCAACATGGCGCACGTTAGTCGGGTGACCGATATCCATGGCAGCAGAATCACTAGAGCAAGAAACTAATGATTTCCTCAAAAGGGTCACAAGAATGGCCAAAAGGGATAGCTCTTGCCGTGTCTTTTTCCCATCTGCTTCACATTCTGTAACTGCAGAAAAACTGTTGTTAACTGCCACGGCTAAAGAAGAAAAAGAAGAAGATGAAGAAGAGAGTGATAACGGCTGGTGTTCTTGGTTGGTGGTGAGAATGAGAATGGTGTCATCAGAAGAAGGAGGAGAGGTTGATGAAGAGAAATGAGAGGTTGGCGTTGGAGACTGTAGCACTTGAGCCATGGCTGGTGAAAAGATGAAGTGTTTTAAGAAAGTTTTATGGTTTAAGAAAAGAAGAAGAAGAAGATGAAGATGCTATATTTTGTGGAGGGAAATGGTCAAGATGAATAAAGTGTGTGTATATCTCTCTCTATGAACAAGAAATTCAAGAGAGATTGAAAAAGAAATGATTTCAACAAGGTGAAAGGAAATTTTATACTAGCTACTCTTATTTGAGTTCTCCTTAGTATTAGATATCAATTTTTAAATTTTGGTTCCTCAAATTGTATGAGATGAAGACATTCAAATAAAAGTTGATAAGGTATCTCTAAATGCTGACTTGTAATTTTCCACTTTTATGCGGTTGTATGTACTATTCTATTATAACATTTTATATGCAAAAGTCAATACTTTCACAAGAAAATTTAAATTTTTGTGTTTTTAAATAATATTTTATAGAAAGATATCAAAATAATTTTAATACGTTTTTTTATAATAAGACATATAACTCATCATCTTCTTTATGGTAACAATGTTATGTCTCAAAATTTATAAAACTTTAAATCTTTAATTAACATTCTATATCTTACCATTCATTTATTCTTCAAAGAATTTTGAAACTTATTTGTTGGTGTAAAAAATAAGTTGTTATTCACATGACCAAACACATATTATCTTAAAGTTTTGGATGAATATTTAGTGTCTCTTTCACTTATGTATTGCTCTTGACTCAATGTGGATGATCCCTATAACCACTCAATAGTAGTATCAGAGTCGATGATTTGAGTAAGGGATCAACTCCTTATATCGAAAGTCTTTCTGACAATGTGGTGGTCAGGCGGCGTGTCTCATTGTAGTGCCTGCAACGATAGTAAAAGTGTATATGGATGAAAGAGCTTTTGCTTGAGGGGAGCATAGTGGATGGACTCACACTTGAGAAGGAGATTAATGTGTACGAGTATGAGTTGTTAGTCCCACATTTCTTGAAAAGTGGAGGTTGAATACTTTATAAGTGAGATGACTCATACACCTATCACCTTAAGGTTTTGAGTGAATATGTGGTGTCTCTTTCACTTGTGTGTTGCTCTTGACCCAATGTTGATGCTCCCCATGATGATCCAATATTGTGGTCCTGGAGCATTAGTTCCATTGGTGCTCTCGACTCTCCCGGACTCTCCAACAGAAAAGCTATATTTAATATAAATATGTGACAAATGATGATAAATTGAGAGAAAAATAGAGAGTGATTGAGGAAAAAATGATTATTGAATATTGCTTATTGTGTATATTTTAATTACAATGGGGGTGGTATCTATAAACACATTATCCACCCAAATCAAATTTAAAACAATGTTTAAAAAAAGTCTGATATATCCACCCAATTATTTTCTTAAAGCAACACAAATCAACCATAATACCATTTCTAATTTAGATTTTCCATGTTTCTCATTCCCATTATCTTCTTTAAACCTTGCTTGTTTGAGGGGTTTTGTCAAGATGTCTGCTAATTGCAACTGTCTTGTAATGATCAATAGTTAACCTTGCTTTGCTAACTTGATCTTTAAGAAAGTGATACCTCATATTTATATGTGTTGTAACAGAGTATCGTCAAGAACAAATTAAAACTGGAAAGATTTAGTTTCTTAAACAAACACAAGAAACCCCATAAGATTTCTCACAAAAGAGGGGGAAGGGGGGAGAAGAAGAAAAAATATTGGGATTAGTTGTAGCTATTTTTTCAATTCACTTTCTCTATTATTGTTTATACATTACAAGTGAATACTAACAATCAACCTCTCTCAACAACCTGAGAGAACTAGTCTATTTATAGACTACTAAACTAACTTAAACTACAAGTTAACTTAAATAATTCAACTAAACAAAAATGCTCAATTCAACATGCTAACAATCATAGCATTTCGACTACTGAATGCTTGAGCATACTTTGACTACAACATACAAGGACTTCGACATCAGCATGTGAACAAACTTTGAAAGTATATTTAACCTCTGTCGAACCAAGAAGCTACCCTCGTCGACACTAGAGTTTGATCCAAAATCTCATAAATCTCCATCTTGGAACAAACTCTACAACATCAAGGGAACAAACTAGCTTTCTTCATGCAGCTTTATCAACTGCATACAGTGGAAAAACTTATAACTTGACAATGTCTTGGTGATTATATTAACAACATTATCTTTATTCGAAACCTTTAACACTTGGACTTCTCAATGTTTTGATTATTTCTCTGACAAAATGAAGCCTCACATCGATGTGCTTAGTTTTCTCATGATAGGCTGAATTCTTCGACATATGTATGGCTATTTGGCTATCACATTTAATAGTGATAACTCGACCTTGAAGTTTCAGATCCTTAAAAAAACCTTTAAGTCACAATGCTTCTTTCACATCTTCAGTGAGGGTAATATATTCTATTTCAGTGGTTGACAAGGCGACGATCTTCTGAAGTATCACTTTCCAACTTATTGTTATGCCAAACTTAGTGAAAACATATCCAAAAATATATTTTCTAGAATCCATATAACCTACATAATCAGAGTCAACAAATTCTTTGATTTCTGGTTTGCTATAATTATCACACGATCAACCATAAACCAATACTATAATCAAAGACCCAATTATGTACCTTAGAATCTACTTCAATGCTTGTTAGTGCACCTTTACAGGATTCACCATATATCTGCTTACAAGGCTCATTACATATATTATGTCTGGCCTCATACAAACCATGGCATACACCAAAGAACCCACTATACTAGCATACAAAATGTTATTCATATAGGCTCTTTCGACTTCAATACTATGACTTTGAGTCTAACTCAACTTAAACTGAGGATTTGCCGGTGTCACAACAGGTTTTGAATTCGACATACCAAATTTATTGAGAATCTTCTTCAAGTATGTCTCTTTAGATAAGTGTTGTACCCCAAAATTTGCCCTCCCATATTTCTCAACACATGACAAGTGAGGTCCCCAAATTGCTCAAGGAAGTTCAAGAGTTGACCAAACAAACTCTCTTCTAAGGAAGTCTACCTCAAATTAGGGTTTCATTTTTCATTAGGATATATGAACCAAAAAGGAATCACATGCTCACAATTGTCCTAATATGTTCTCAAGATCATCCATGTCAAGTTTCAAGCCTTGCAGAAGAAGTTTGCTCAGTCAATTGGTCAAAGGCCTGAAAATCGACTGTGCTAGGTCAAAAGTCAATTGTGGCCCACATACAGTCAAACTTCAATATTTTTGGTCAACATCCTCATTTTGAAGTATAATTCATCATTTGATCAAGGTTTGATCATGATTCATCAAGGATTTCTCACAACTCATCAAAACCCAAAAGTTGCTAAATTAGGGTTTTGTAGGAAAAGCCAACTCAACTTTGACCAAGCACAACTTTCTCATACTTTATCAGAAATGATCCATCCAAATCTCATTTTGAATAGGATGCAATTCCCTACAATTAATATTCATCTCCCAAGTTCAAAATATGCACTCATAAAAAGATATGAATTTTGACATTATAGGTCATTTTGAAATGTCAACAAAAACACCTTTTGGGTCAAAGATTCATAGATGAACATGGAAGACTAAATTGAGATGAGACCAAAAGGGTTGCTTAGGGGACATCCTAAGCTTTCTAAAAAGTCCAAGAACACCTCTCTAGGGTCAAAATTGAGAGAGTTATGCATTGGCCAAGTTGACCCTTTTTGCAAAATTGCCAAAAGTCAACATTGATCAAATTTGCATTTTTTCCAAAGGGGCCCATGTTTTCTTGTTTGAAACATGTTTCTAATAGGACCCACGACCCCTGAGCTTTTCCACCTATTATTTTATTATTTTTATCATTTATTTTGATTTTTATTCATTTAAATCAAAATAAATCAAATTAAATGGTAAAATAATAAAATCAAATCAAATCTTGGATTTTTTTGTGTGCATCTTTTGAGTCTATGTACAGCTAGCAGGATAACCAATGCGTGCAAGATTGATTTGGGTTGAAAAATATTGGATTGAAGAAAATTTAGAAGGATATCATATGCCATGAAAGACCAAATCAAATCTTCATAATGGACAAGATTCAGTTCGTTTTTGTTGACCTAATGTGTTGCATTACATATACAGAAGGTATCCAAGGCAAGAGAAGAAGGTTTTCAGGCGTAAAAAGGCAGAACAAAATTCCAATGTTTCAAAGAAAAGTGTAGATCCAATCTTGCTCTACAGGCCATCTCAAGCCATCCCAGTTATCCCAATCAATTGCTGGAAGTTTCAGGAAGCTGTCCCAAGTATTTGCAGGTCATAACACGCATAGAAACGCCTTGTAAGGGTGTCACGGTTTTCCATGTTTTTTAAATTTTATTATCATGATTCGTGCATTATGAGCATGTTTTAATAGCATATATATGTTTGTCATCGTGTTTGTAACGTGTTGATTATGTTCAATTGCGTTTTTGATGCGTATACTGACAATTTTCGTGGCTAGGGTTTAAGGTCACAATTTATGGATTTTCAATACAGGTTAAATTGGGCTTGGATTCTGGTACCATGATACTCGTGAGGATGAGACGAGTTGATTGGTACCTTTGAATTTAATTTATATTGCTTGTGGACAATTTTTGAGATGCACAGGTCTGTACCTACAACGAAACGTCCGTAGTTTGGTGAAGAAGACGATGCATGGCACTCACTGGTTGGGTTGTTTGAATTTTAGTGTGTTTTTCTGAATGCACCGTGTGATTTGCTTATATTAATTATTCATATTATATTTACAAATAAGCAAAGTAGCTCAGTTGGCAAGCGTGTATTGGAAATGTGCATAAGGACCTGGGTTCGATCCCCAGGTCCCATATTTGTTTTATATTGTTTTTCAACAGGTGATCAAGCGCATTACATTAGTGCACGCCTACCATGCATCTTCAATAATCAACTAGTGGATGCAACAGTCATCCAGGCGTACGCGCTCCAGCCTGAAGGACTACCATACGCCTCAAGTCAACCTACACAC